TGAATACAAAATTAACATGCAAAAATCTATAGCATTTCTATAAACAACCAACAAGCAGACAAAGACAGAACCGCAGAAAGTAATCCCATTTGCCGTAACCACAAGAAGTATAAGATACTTAGGAATAAAACTAACCAAAAAGTCAAAGATTTCTATGAGGAAAACTATAAAAACATTAAAAAGGAAATTGAAAAGGACACAAAAAAGTGGAAGAACATCCCATGTTTCTGGATTGGTGGAATTAACATAATCAAAATGGCAATCCTACCCAAATTAATCTACATATTTACTGCAATCCCTATAAAATTACTAGAGACATTCTTCACAGATCTAGAAAAGACAGTCATAGAATTTGTTTGGAATAATAAAAGAATGCCAGAGCCATTTTGTGCAAGAAGAGCAGAGTAGGTAGCATTTCACTTCCTGATCCCAAAACATATTACAAAGCTGTGATAATCAAAACAGTGTGGTATTGGTACAAAAACAAACATGAGGCTAGAAAAGACAGTCATAGAATTTGTTTGGAATAATAAAAGAATGCCAGAGCCATTTTGTGCAAGAAGAGCAGAGTAGGTAGCATTTCACTTCCTGATCCCAAAACATATTACAAAGCTGTGATAATCAAAACAGTGTGGTATTGGTACAAAAACAAACATGAGGCCCAATGGAACAGAGAAGAGACCCCAGAAATAAACCCCAAAACATAGAGCCAACAGATCTTTGACAAAGTGTACTAGTCAATCCAGTGAGAAAAGGAAAACCTATTTTGCAAATGGTGCTGGAAAAAACTAGGTATCCACTTGCAGAAAGATGAATCAGAACCTCTATCTGACACCATTAACAAAAATCAACTCAAAGTGGATCAAAGATCTAAACATAAGACCGCAGACTATAAAACTACTGGTGGAAAACACTAGAAAGACTCTGGGGTAGGCCAATACTTCTTAAGTAAGATCCCCGAAGCACAGGCAATAATCTCCAAAATAGACAGGTGGAATTACATAAGATTAAGAAGTTTATGCACAGCAAGGAACACTGTAATTAGTGTGAATAAACAATCCTTGGAAAGGGAGAGAATTTGTGCTAACTGTGCCTCAGATAAAGGACTGATAACAAGACTACACAGGGCACTCAAGTGGCTTACCAGGAAGAGAAAGATTAACCCAATTAAAAAATGGGAAAATGAGTTCAATATACAACTCTCTCAGGAAGACATACAAACGGGCAAAAAGCATATGAAGAAATGCTCAACATCCCTCATCATTAGGGAGATGCAGATCAAAACCATAATGAGATACCACCTATCCCCTGTCAGAATGGTGGAGATTAAAAAATAATAATAAGTGCTAGAGGAGATGTGGTGAAAGGGGAACTTCCTACACTGTTGGTGGGAATGTAAATTGGTCCAGTCACTGTGGAGAACAACACGGAGGTTCATCAAAGACCTTCAAATAGACCTACTGTATGATCCAGCATTTTTACTCCTGGGTATCTACCCAAAGGACAGGAGAATGCTCAGTTAGAAAAGTGCTTGCAAATTTATATTCATTTCAGCATTTTTCACAATTGCTAAGACATGGAACCAAACCAAATGTCCACAAACAAAAGAATGGATTGCAAAAGTGTGGCACATATACTCCACAGAATACTACACAGTCATAAAAAAACAACAAGGCCCTAGAATTTGATAGAAAGTGAACAAATATGGAAAATTTGGTGCTGAGTGAAGCAAGTCAGGCTATGAAAGAGAGACATTGTATGTCTCCACCTAACATATACCAACTATCTGCACTCTATGGTAGAGACTGAAAGACTGGAGACATAAAAACATCAAAAATTGTTATGAATATGGGACCAGTAGTTAGTGTAATGGCTATGTCGCTGGACTCCCACGTAGTCGACCACAGTTCGCGTCCTGGACCCGGTGGCTTAAAACTCACGCCGGGCGTGTGTGCGTGTGTGCCCAAGATCCTGAGAGGAGAATGGAGGAGAAGGGATTGCGGCGTGGCCATCCCCCAAAGACATTGTATGTCTCCACTTAATATATACCGACTATCCACACTCCATGGGGGACTGAAAAAATGGAGGACATAAAAAGCATTGAAAATTGCTATGGACTCTAGAGACAAAGTGAAAGAAGAGTGTGGGAAGGGAAGAGCATAGGAAAGGAAATTTGGGGAAAACATAGACAGGTAAGACATTTGTGGGGCACAGATAGGGTTTATTATTTGTTGATGAAGATGTGTATAGTATTTTCAACTGGGCTGGACTGAAGTGTATATAATGCTGGGTAAAGTCTCTTTACAGTCTAAATGATGTATAGTGATTAAATGTAAAAATAATAATTTAAAAAAGTGAAAAAATCTCATAAGAGCATGGATTTCTTTATTTTTAAAAGTAAAAGGTATTTAGTTAGGGACACACAAGTGAAGAATTACTATAATTATTTATATTATTTTTTCCAGTAAATTGTTCTATTTATCTACTTACGAACTCTTTTATTTACAATACAACTTCTTTCCTATGTATCTATTTTTTGGACATTTATAATAATGAAACACTGGTTTGTGACTTGGGCATGTAAGCTATCAGTTCACTTGAAGGTTAAATCACTCTTTTCACAACTTGACACTTTTCACAACTTTTTAAAAATTCATTGTCATTATTTTATTTTATATTGTTGAAGTTGTCCAGAGATGGAGGTAGTGAGAGAGAGAGAGGAGAGAGAAAGTGAGAAAGCAAGCTGCCATGTCCGGGGCTTACACCGCAGTCAGCAATGTGGGAGTCTAGCTGCCTTAATCACCATGCCACCTGCTGGGCTCCACAACTCGTTCCAAGTGATGTGGTTGGTAGTACTATGGTGAACAGTGTCACTGTGAGGCTGCCTTCACATGACAAAAGTTCCCAGTTCATGTCCAGAGACCTTCCTGCATACACAGAAACATACATGTCCATGATCTTGGGCTGCTGGAGCTCGGAGTGAATCTTGGCATCAAACGCTGTTGGGAGTGCTCTCTCTGTTTCTCTCACTCGTGAAATAAATCATTTAAAAATTTATCATGAGATATTATAAATCATTTTTATAATTTTTTTGTTGTATGGTCTGCTTCTTTTTTCAATTCTTCTGGATTAATCTTTTGTTGTTTGTTTAAAATTTTTTAATTATTATTCATACATTAAATAGCTATACATCATTTAGATTGTGAAGAGACTTAACCCAGCCTGATATAAACCTCAGTCCAACCCAGCTGAGACTTTTATACACATCCTTGTCAACAGATAAAAAACCTTATCTGTGTCCCACAAGTGTCTTACCCCTCCATTTTCTTCCCGAATTTCCTTTCCTACAGTCTTTCCCTCCCACACTGTCTTTCCACTTTGTCTCTAGTGTCCATTATAAGTTTTTTTTTGAGAGGTTTTTGCTATAGGACACATGCACTCACCAGAAAGACAGAGAGAAACAGAAAGTGAGAAATCACCTTCCAGGGGGTATGGCCACACCACAATCCCTTTTTCCTCCATTCTCCTCTCAGGATCTTGGGCATGCACACACATGTGTCCAGTGTGAGTTTAAGCCACTGGGTCTGGTACTCGAACTGCAGTCAACTACTTGGGAGTCCAGCCATGTAGCCATTACGCCAAATGCTAGTCCCCAATTTTTAATGCTTTTATTTTCTCCAGTCTTTAAGTCTCTACCATAGAGTGTGGACAGTCCATACATGTTAATTAGAGACATACAGTGTCTCTCTTTCATAGCCTGACTTGCTTCACTCAGCAACAAATCTTCCACATTCGTCCATTTTCTATCAAATTTCAGACCTTGTTGTTTTTTATGGCTGAATAGTATTCCATGGAGTCTATGTGCCATAATTTTTGAATCCATTCATCCGTTTGTGGACATTTGGTTTGGTTCCATGTCTTAGCAATCATGAATAATTCTTGAAATGAAAATAGTTGTGCAAGCGCTTTTCCAACTGAGTGCTCTCCTGTCCTTTGGGTAGATACCCAGGAGTGGAATTGCTGGATCATATGGTAGTTTTATTTGAAGATCTTTGAGGAACCTCTTTGTTGTTCTCCATAGTGGCTGGACCTATTTACATTCCCACCAACAGTGTAATCTTACAGTTTTTATTTCATGTGTTTTTACCTTATTGGTCTAGGAATTATAGAGTCAATTTTTATGCTTCTGTATAACACATAGAAGGTAGAAAACAGGGTTTTTCAGGATAAATAAAACTCTTCTATATGATACTGAATGATGGACATATTATACAGTCTTCAAGATCCATAGAATGTACTACATCATAAATGAACCCAATTATTAAACTATAGACTGTAGGTGATTAAAAACACACACACACACAAAATGAATAAACAAACCCTCTCTCGCACAAAACACATCGTTGGAAATTAACTAGTGGTATATGCACATACACACACATCTCACATGCACTTTTATAAAATCAACCCATCAAGGACAAAATCAGAGTAGAGATTTAAAAATATTTGGTATTGAGCAATGATTAAAACATTACATATAAAAATTTGTGGGGCATAGTTAAAAATGTTAACTAAAGTTAAAAATATTAACTAAAAATGTATAGCCTCAAATGCCTACATTAGAAGATAAAAACTAATAATAACTAAAGAATTAGAAATGATTAGCAAAATAAAAAAGAAGAAAAAATTTAGAATTGAAATAAATTAATTATTTTAAGAAACAGAGAAGATCAAAAGAGAAGTATATGTTATATAGTAAGATGTCTACAGCCATTTGTTTTTATTATATTTATTTAAGTGTATAGAGGCATTGAAAATGCATTTTCTCCACTTAAGATGTGGAAAACTGCTTTGTGGTTCTTTTAATCTAAAAAATTAGAGTCACTCATGGTGACTCACTTCACTCTTTGAGACCTGGTATACCTAATATATAAAATGAAGATTTGGGACAAAATGTCATGTCCATGTCTATTTATCTTTCTGGGATTTTACTTTTCTAGGGTCTTGATTGAAGCAACAGTTTCCCTAACATAAAATTCAGCTTGTAGACTGTTATAATATGGATTACAAGTGTCTGCTTTGAAACCTGGGAACTGCAAAACATGGTGAGTTATACCTACACAGCACATGAAGTTATTATATGTTACTATTACTAGTAGCAGTTGTAGTGCAAATTTATACTGAAGTTAATTGTCTTGCTACTACTATCTCCTTTTACTGTGGTTACAATTAGTTCACAACTAAATTCTCAGCATTAAAAACAGAAGTCTTTCTCCTCTTCACATTTCTTTCTTGAGAAATTTATAACTCTCTTCTAAGGCACTTTATAGAAGCTGAAGGTTGCTGCTAAATGTCCCTACGGCAAAATGGCTAACAACCTGCTAGTTAAATGATTATCATGTTCACTTACTCAAGGAGTTCTGGTCTGAAAGAAAAGTAAGGCAGGCTCTCTCATTTCTCTTGTAAGTAGTATAACACAGAAAATCCATTTTCCTTTTCATAGAGGAAAAAGGTCAGAGTACATTTCTGTTCATAATATATAAACATCTTCCTTTAGCTTTCTTTTTATTACCCTTCTATAACATTGTGGAAAGGATGAATTATAGCTTGAAACAAGATCCAACAGTCACTCTTTTGTCTTCTATCTGCTCACTCTTTGTTTCTTTATCTTTCTTTCTTCTTCCTTTCTTTTTTGAGAGATTTTTGCAATAGAGCTTGTGCACTGGCCAGAGAAACATAGAGAACCAGAGAGACAGAAAGTGAGAAATCATCCTGGAGGGGATGGCCACACCATAATCCTTTCTTCTCCACTCTCCTCTTGGGATTTTGAGCATTGCACACACATGTGCCTGGCATGAGTTTTAAACAGCCAGGTCCTGGACTCAAACCCCGACTATGTGGGAGTCCAGCTATGTAACCGTTACACTATCTGGTTGTCTCTCTATCTGTTCTTTCTAAACCAGTGGTTCTCAAAGTCTTGGTAGCCCGTTCAGGGAATCTATGTAGTCCAAACTATTTTCCTAATGTTTTTAGATGTTATTTTCCTTCTTTCCTTTCATTCTTCCAGTAGGGTACAGTGGCATTTCCCAGGAGCCACATGACATGTAACATCACAGCAGAATGGAATGCAGAAACAGGTATGAGAATCTAAATGTCTTCCATTAAGCCAAACGTTACAGATATTTGCAGGGCTGGATGGTGGCACAGAGGTAAAACTCTATTCTCTGTGAAGGAGACCCATGGAGGAAGTTGCCAACTCGAGGCTGGAGACCTCTCTGAATACACTAGGCATGCTGTGCCCATGATCCAGGCTTCTGCCCATGAGGCCAGGGATGAACCACAGTATTAAGACCTGGGTGCTGTATCTCTCTTACACCATGGAATACATAAATGGACCTAAAAAGCACTTCAAGACATTTGCCAAGGTCTGAACCAATGTCACTCTTTTCATAAAATATTTTTGGCTTTGGAAAACACATTTTCCACAGCAATATGTTACTTACATTAATGTCAGAAGTCTATTATTTAAAAAGTTAATTAATAATAAATGTTTAAATTTATCAGTTTTAATTTTTGATGTGGCAAATGTCAATAGGTAATAATCTACATAGGCAAAAGCTCTTTATAATGTTTAAGGGTATAAAGAGCTCTTGAGACCAAAAATTGAGTACTTCTTTAAGTAGTTCCTGCTGTAGCTAAGAGGCAAATTTTAGAAATAGAAGCATCTAAATTCCAGAGGAAAGGAACAGAAACATTTAAATGTCTAGCTAACCCAAAGGACAGGGTAGAGCACTTGGAAAATATCCCTCAGCTTCTTTAACAATTTAGACTCCACATGAATAACAAACAAACTTTAATTCCAAACCATGTATGAGAACAGACTGGAACTATAAAGGAAGAGTTGAGGGTACATGAGAAAGGGATCAAAATGTACTTTAGATCTGTAATACTCTAAACATAATATTTGTTTAATACCCAATGAATTATAGCCCTTAAATGTGTAGGGTTGGTATAAGCATAGCATCTGTGTATATGCTATGATGTTTACTGTTTCAAACATATTATCTTGTTATCCAGTCCTGTATGGGGCTGGCAATGCAGACTGCAGAGGTTTAGGTAAGAAACTCCAGAATTCCAGACTGTCTGGATTCGAGTATCAGTTTTTCAGGATACTTAATTTTCCCATGTTTAGTCTCCTTGTCAACAAATGGGGTCAGTAGCAAAGGGCAACTACTTCATAGGGCTGCTATAAAGATCAAATGAGTTAATTTTGTTAAGTGCATAGTGCAGTGCTTGGCCTATGTATGAGCTATGCAAATGTTCAGTTAATCAATAAGTAAATCCAGAACTGCCAGGTTAGAGGCTATGAAGAAGAAAAGACTTGGACTGAGACGCAAACAGAATATTAGGAGCAGATCAAGACAAGTTACTAAGTAGAAAACACAGACGCCAGACTCTGGGGTTGGAATGAGCCCATGGACAAATCTCACACCAAGGTGTCAAAACTCAATAGAATAAGGTGCTTCAGAACTGAGAATGTGGGTTGAGGCAAACAAACTCTCATGAGAAATGTTTCACAGAGATTTAGCCTCTCTCAAAGGTCTGAAGGAGACTTTGCCTGTGCAAGCTGAATTCCACTGATTTTTCATTTGTTTATTTAAGACAGGATCTCACTTTGTTACCATCTTCCTGCATCAGCTGGGACGATAGCTGGGATCACGGTGTGCCACTATGATGCCTGGTTCTTTCGTAGACAAGGTCTTTATAGCCTAGAGCAGCCTCAATCTCGCCATCCTCCTGCCTCAGCCTCCCCAAGCAGTTGGGATTGCAGGAATCAAACTCGGGCCTCCCATGTGGTCCCAGACTGTGAGCACAGCCTTAGCCTGTTCCACAGCCTGTTTGAAGGCACACCTCTTTTAACGCAACATCTGCCCCTTTGGCTATAAAAAATGACCACCACCACTTGATGGCACTGTGTTCAAATCACACAAAGCACACATAACCATTTTACATTGCTAGGTCATTTCTTAATACACATAAAAATGTATGAGGCAAACAAACTCTCATGAGAAATGTTTCACAGAGATTTAGCCTCTCTCAAAGGTCTGAAGGAGACTTTGCCTGTGCAAGCTGAATTCCACTGATTTTTCATTTGTTTATTTAAGACAGGATCTCACTTTGTTACCATCTTCCTGCATCAGCTGGGACGATAGCTGGGATCACGGTGTGCCACTATGATGCCTGGTTCTTTCGTAGACAAGGTCTTTATAGCCTAGAGCAGCCTCAATCTCGCCATCCTCCTGCCTCAGCCTCCCCAAGCAGTTGGGATTGCAGGAATCAAACTCGGGCCTCCCATGTGGTCCCAGACTGTGAGCACAGCCTTAGCCTGTTCCACAGCCTGTTTGAAGGCACACCTCTTTTAACGCAACATCTGCCCCTTTGGCTATAAAAAATGACCACCACCACTTGATGGCACTGTGTTCAAATCACACAAAGCACACATAACCATTTTACATTGCTAGGTCATTTCTTAATACACATAAAAATGTATTTGGAATATTTTGAGGTAGGGAGAAAGGATGAAGAATTAGAAAGAAAATGCATTATCACATTTTTTTCCAGGGGAAATTTAATTACTATTTGAATAAAAAGAATTTCTACTTACTCTGGCATTTATATTAATCTGTGGTAATCTCATTAAGTAAGTCAAAATGTTTTTGAAAGCACTCTTGGTAAGTACTTTATAATCGTTGTTTATTCAATGTACTAACTTTTTTTTTTTTTTTTTTTACTAATCTTTCTCAAAGCTAGGGCCTTGCTAACACATGTTAAATTTATCATCTACAGTGCATATGTAATTGTATAATTCTTTTAAAAACAACAGACTTTTAGCTTGTGTATTCAAAAGTAAATAATGGGTTTATTATTTTAAAGCTAGACACAATTTAATTTCCTACAATTAAATATGTCACAACATGGCAGAGTTTTAATGGCAATTCCTTTGTTTCTATAAAGCTCTAGATGAGGTGGGAGGAATTATTTCCTGAATGCGTAGTATGTTATTGTCCCTTCCACACAAATGCAAGATCCAGTCACCATTTTTAAGCTTATTACATAACTCCAGAATTGTAGGAATTAACTTTTCAGTACAGTGCACTTCACATAGTAGGAATCTAATAGATGTACAGATAATGACTATAATGGATACTTTTCTTCTGGAAATAAAGTAGAGGAGCACCACCATTTAAAAGTTTTAAAGAAATTCCTTTCCTTGAGATATTACATTAGGAAACATGATGCTGTGTGGTAGAGTACATCTTCTCATTTTTCTGTTCCTCTTTAAGAACACTGCAGAAACGTTCAATAGACATATTTGCTTTTGTTTAGAGAGACACTTGAACTGAAAACATGTACTTTGCGTGTATGCATGCGTATGTATATGTGTATGTGAGACTACTTATGCTTTCAATGTGATGTCTCTGTTAAGAGCTTGTGAAGTATGATGTATAAACAGATTTTTTAGGCAGCCTCTAGCTTGAAACATAAGGCACTGGACTCCCATATGGCTGACCAAGATTCAAGTCCTGAACTTGATGGTTTGCTGTCTCACTTTACCTCTCTCTCTCTCTGATGAGTGGATGTTCTCTATAGCAAATTAAAAATAATGATAATGATAAATAAAATTAAATAAATAAATCTTAAAAAATAGAATACAAGGTGACAAAAGTTATACACCTGTCTCTTATTTCTTTTAAAAGAAAACTTTTATGGAGTGCTTAATAATGCATTTGTAAAGCCTCAGGAGAAAGTTAAATTTGTTTTTTAAGGAGATTTTGGATGAGAACCTGGTAAGTCTGCCCTTTCCATGTCCATCAGCCCAGTTCAAACACCAATGGACAAAACCCAGGGTGGGGTGGGGACAGCCTGATGGTCACAGCTCAGTCAGAACTGAGACTAGATGCAGCTAACACCCTGAGCTCAGGGCTTGGCATGGAGTGAGCCCTCATTGATACAATGGTAATAGATAAAATTCCTATTTTAGAATGTAGAGTCTGAGAAAGCAATGGGTTTCTCCATTCTTTTTACCTTGCCTGGTGTTTTTTGTTTTGTTTTGTTTTGTTTCGTTTTGTTTTACCTTTCTTCTCCTTGCTTCAAGGGGTCTTAATTCATAGATTCAACAAATATTTATTGGGTGCCCCTTCCATGCCACTCACTGTTTCAGGTGCTGGCAGACAATATTGGAATTTATTTGAGCCCCATAATCCTGGAAAATAGCAAAAGTTAAGAAATTCCTCTCCCTCTTTTGGTTTCCAGAAAGCAGATTACTGCAAAGAACCACCCTTCTTAATATGACTTAGAAAAGACTAAATGATGACCCCCTTTGCTTGCCTCAAAGGCCAGACACAGATTCCCCAAATGCCCACTTCCTGACTTGTAAATGATAACACATATTCATAAACTGTCCCCATTGTCCAGTCTGGTAAAAATGATTATGAATCTAAATTAACTGAAGTTTAGTTAGGCTTCTCTTCTTTTCCCTGGAAGAAACTGAACTTTAGAGTACCTTGAACGTTGGAATGTGGAATAATCCCTCTTTCTCTCCTTAATGGCAAGAATGGGCTGATCTCAAGGAAACATTTCTTAATCAACTATTTCATCATAACACCTGCTCTTCTCATGTTGCATTCCTGGTTCCCTCTAGCCTCATTTAGTCCCTATAAAATGAAGTTCTTTTCTTCTTTCTCCTCCTTTTTTTTTGTTAATCCATTCTTTTTTTTTTCTTTTATGAGAGAGGGACAAAGACCCCTAACAAAGGCTTGCCATACTGCCATCTTTCTCCTGGTCTTCCAGTCAGCTGGAATCAAAGTGTACCAGGCATGTTCAGGTCAACCTGAGATCTGAACCATAGACCTCCCCATATGGCTCCATCATCTCAAATAGGCACTCTACTGCCTGTGCCACAGAAGCTGGGGTGGAAACCTCTTTTCTATCTGACCGTTGAGATGTTTTCGGATCTCATGTTTGGCATATTATCCCTATGGCAAGAGCTCCTTTATTGACATAGTCCCTTTTGTCCTATGAGAATAATCTTTTTGAATAAAATTTCTCCACACTGAATTTCAGGGTTTTTTTCCCCCAATTT